CCAGACTTAGCTGGGCTCCGGTGCCCTTCTAGGCTCGGTCCTAGAGCCGGACGGGGGGCGAGGAGGACGCTGCCTGGACTCTGATACGGTCAGAGGGAGCTCTGCAAATCGCTGACACCATCGAGGTTGGCAGCTTTGGCAAGCCAGGCTCGAAGGCTGTCCCCAGTAAAGCACCCAAGCAGGTGAAAATTGTCTCTACAGCTCTTCGCTTCCCCTTGCCTCATCCCTTCCTGCCTGGCATTCCCCTTCTCCCCCGCTTCTTCTCGCCCTCACAACGATTTACTCTCCTCTCCTCCTCCAGACCGCCTCTCAGAAAAAGCCTGATAACTTTGCTCACACCAAGTTATAAAAGACCAAAAAGCTTCCTGGTGAATACATTGCGGGCGGGTTTCTCAGAGAAGGTGCTCTGGAGAAGGGAGGCACGCAGGGCCCTGCGGAGAGGTGAAGTGAGCCAAGCCTGGAAACGGCCCATGGGGTTTGGGGGCTCAGAGCGCACTGGTGACCTGGGTGGGAGAGGTGTTGGAGGTTTGCAGGGCTGGGAACAGATGGAGGCAGCTGAGGGGTGAGCGGAGGCCGAGAGGAGGGAAGACACCCAGGGCAGACAGCTGGTGGGCTGGGGTGGAGGATAGGGGGCCATTACAACGGTCACTGGGGAAGGGGTCTGGTTCAAGGGAGAAGGCCTTCTTTTAATGGAAGAGATGAGTGCGTGTGAAATGCTGATTAGGAGCCAGAAGGGAAGGAAAGGCTAAATATACCAGTGAGTGAGGGGCCCCCAAACACCCAGGCGGGGAGACCAGATGGAAGGGAGCACAGAGCAGGGCAGCCGCATCCCTGAGGAGGGAGCAGAAAATGGGTGGGTTTGGCGGCAGAGAGTCGAGGAACTCCCGTCTGGGGGCGCCTGAGTTCTCTGCTGAGAGTGGGGCAGGCAAAGTGGGGGTGCAGGGTTAAAGGGAGATTCTGAACTTGTCCCTGGGGAGACTAGGGAGCTCCCTTGGGAAGCAGAGGCTCCCCAGGCCACGCCGGGTCCAGCTCACATCAGAGACCTTGACTTTACCATGGCCTTGGTTTGTATGGAGTTCAACCATGCTGGTGGGATTTCAGATAGAGAGGATCTTTTTGAGGAGGCCAAGGATCTCCCCTAGGACTCCCTAAATTACAAGAGATAATAATAATGATTAAAAACTACCAACACTTTCAAATATTTCCTGTTACACAGCGTTTCTGAAATAACTAGCCACCTACGTCTGGGGTCATTTTACACCAAACGTTCAATAGAGTGATACTTTTTTCCTTAATCCTATCCCAACCCCTTTCCCCATCCTGATTCTCTGAGAACTACCTTTCCAGCTCTGAGGGCATTGAAACCAGCTTTTGTTTGGGACTCTGAGGTCTTGGGAGAAATTCCTGAGCATTTCCCAAGCTCCCAGTGGTAGCCCAGTCCCTCCTAAATTTGGCCCCGGCTGAGCCCTGCGGGTGGAGGTCCTGGCCTTTCCCCGACCGCCTCTGGCCCCTCACACTCCCCATAAGCCACCTGGTAAAGGAACACGGGATCCGGGGCCTGCCTGATGCATTGACTGTTGACCATCTTTTCTTCTTAGACTGAAAATGGTGTTTGGACTGGGCGGCCAGAGAGAGAGGTAAAGTTTAGGTGGGCCCTGCCACAGTGCCTCGAGTGACCAGGACGGGGAACCCCCACTTGGGTCTAAGAGGAAGGGAAAATAGGGTTCTCTGCTGCCCTTTCCTTGACTGTTCCAGTATCTCTGGGACTCAGGGTTGGGGTGCAAGGCCTGGTCCTGGCAGGCGGGAACTGCCTGTGTGTGTGTGCGCGTGCATGTGTGTGAGTGCGTGTGTGTGTGCACGTGCCCGCACACCCTGGGAGCCCCCGTCCCTGCAGCGTCAAGATGCTCTGCTTGTGGCAAGGGAGGGGTCCCAGAGGAGGTGGATGAGTCACGGGGATGCAATTTCTGATCGGGATTGTGCGATCTGTCAGTCCAGAGTAGGGGGGCCTTGGAGGACCCCCGCGGGAAGAGCAGATCCAGCGTTGAGTGCCCAACCACGGCCGGGTCCTTGCTTTCCAGCTGGGAAGGCAGGGTGGACCCAGGGAGATAAGTGCAAAAGGAAAGGAGAAGGGAGTGTGTTCTAGGCTCCGAGTCTGGCGCTCAGTGTAGGCGGAGGCCCCAAGCCTGGCCCGCCGGACAGTGGGGAGCCCCTGCGAGCCCGGTACAGCTGAGGGATTTATTCACTCACAGTGTGGGACACACGCTGGCAGAGTTGGTCCTGGGGCTTGGAGTGGGAGGAACCTGGTCCCCACCCGCAGTGAGGACACGAGACGCCCCAGCCTTACCCTCAACTCCGCTTTCCTTCCAGGCTCTACAAGCCCCTGTATGTAGCACACCTCTTCATTCTTGCAGGTAAGGGCCTGGGCGCTGGGGCCATGGCAGGAGCCGGGGGGCTGGTTCTCATTTCGGGGCTGCCCCGCTCTCCGGCTGCCTGCCCCCCGGCCCCCGCTCTCCGGCTGCCTGCCCCCCGGCTCCCAGGGCCTGGCCATGCTGCTCAGAGGCAAGGCTGCCCTTCTGTCCCTTTCCTTCCTCGGTACCTTCCTAGTGAACTGGATTTGAACCCATGTTTGATTCGAAAACCCATCCTCCCCCCCCCCACCGAAAACCCACGAACCAAAACCCACACAACCTCATGTCCTATAGCAGTGATCTTCAACGTTGGCCTGCACACCTGTAATTGAAAAATTACGTATCCTCTCATAATTTTAATACCTGACGTCTTTCATTACCAGTTTAGTTTAAGGATATGATTTCTGGTGCATTGCAAATACTGACATTGTAAAGTAATTGTATCGTTTTTAAATGTTTTAATTAGTCTTTCTTCACCCCCCTGCAGGCGTGGTGTACTACTATTTTCAGGGCTCTGTGGGGAAGCCAGCCCCTGACGATGAGATTGCTGAGGGACCCTCACAGGTAGGCACTGTGCAGGCCTCGAGGCCGGGGTGGTCTCGCTGTAGCCTGAGTAGAGGTCATGCTCCTCGGCCTCAGTTGTTACCCAGCTGTGTGTGTGCGTGCGTGTGTGCGAACGTGAGGACTCTGCAGAAGTTCGCTGTGCTTCTGGCAAAGTGTCCAAACAGAGGCTCCACCCCTCCGGGGCTGGCTGTATAAGCACCTCGGGGCTCTGTGGCCACGGCGTCCACAAACCAAAAGGAACAGATGATCCCTCATTCATGTGAGTAGCTCTGGAATGTGGTTCAGCGCTCACATGTGGATGAGGCGGTGGTGAGCAGGACGCCTGCCTGGGGTTGCATACTCTCCTCGATGTCCCAGATCCAAGAGCCTAGGGCAGAAGCCCCTGCTCCCAGCCCTGGGTGGCTGCTGGACCCCCACCAAGGGCCCCATGCTAGACTACGTGCTATCTGCTCGGTCATAGTAAACCTCACAGCCGCCCAGCCGCTCGCACTTTATGTAGATGGGAAACAGGCCCCTAGGCGGACAGCGACTGGATCCAGGCTGCCCACGTTGACAGGACAGAACCACATCCCTGATCTCCGGAGGCCTCCCGCTCTCTGAACAGTGCCGTTGGGAAGAGGGGATTCCCATAGAGACAAGGCTGTCTGCAGCCCAGAAGCACTGAGAAGGATGCGCTACACCTTTTGGGGCTGACCATTAAGCCCCCAAGAGGGCCCATGTTGGCAGATGCCTTGGAGACCACGGAGTCCAACTTTGCTTCCTTTCTTTGTTGCTGTTGTTGTGGTTTAAAGTAACTGATCACATTTCCACTTAAAAAAAAAAAGTTTTATCGTCATCAAAGATAGGCATGTACGCAGTTTGATGCTTCGAAGTTTTAAGACCTGAAACCAACAAATGGCTTCCTTGTGCCCCACCCACGATCCCCGCACCCCAGGATGGGAATCTTCCCAGCCTCTGACCCTTCCAGCTGGAACCTTTGATTTTTCCATGTTTCTAAATAGTAAGCTTATCCTGCTTTGTCTTGATTTTTCAGATTTAAACATTAGCCAGTGAATTCCTACGGTGGAAGCTGAGGTTTTAGCTCTCGGAACAACTGTCCATTTACTGCCCTCCGACACACACTTCACCTCCCTCCAGCTTCCAGTATAGTTACAGCCGTGTTTTCTGAGTAATGACATTTTCAATCGTTAAAATCTTTTAAATAACATTGTTGCTGATTTTTCTATCATTTTGGCCTTTAAGTCCCCCTCCACTGCAGTGGGCTCATTTTCGGCAGCCGGGTAACCCCCACCACAAAAGCAGAGCAGCTCCATCCCTTCAAAAAATTGCTCCAGACTCACGTGCAGTCAGCCCTTCCCCCACCCCCGGCATCCAGTGAAGAGTTTTCTGTTCCTACAGTCTGGCCTTTGTGAGATTGCCCTGTAAGCGGAGACATCCTGCCTGTCGTCTGGTTTCTCACCAAGTCTGGTGCGCCCGAGGCCCCTCTGGGCGCATGCGCAGCAGCAGCTCATTCCTTCTTGCTGAGCAGGTGTCCTTCGTGGGGATGCACTGCAGTTCGTCTGCTCAGCACCTAAGAGATATTTGGGTGTTTCTGGTTGGGGGACAATTACAAATAAAGCCGCTGTGGGGCGCCTGGATGGCTCAGTCGGTTAAGCGTCTGACTCTCGGTTCCCGCTCAGGTCATGATCTCGGGGTCCTGGGATGGAGCCCCCGCATCTGGGCTCCGCAATCGGTGGGCAGTCTGCTTGAGATTCTCTCTCCCTCTGCCCCTCCCCCATTCGTGCTTTTTCTCTCTCTAAAATAAATAAATAAAATCTTTTTTAAAAATCCCACTATAGGGGCGCCTGGGTGGCTCAGTTGGTTAAGTGACGGCCTTCGGCTCAGGTCATGATCCTGGAGTCCCGGGATCGAGTCCCGCGTCGGGCTCCCTGCTCGGCAAGGAGGCTGCTTCTCCCTCTAACCCTCCCCCCTCTCATCTACTCTCTCTCATTCTCGCTTTCTCAAATAAATAAATAAATCTTTAAAAAAAAAAAATCCCACTATAAATATTCATGTATAAGTTTTGTGTCAACATAGGTTTTCCTTTCCCTTTGGTCACCACCGGCAGCAGGGCTGGTGGGTCATGTGGTCGGCGTCCATGTAGTTTGGTCGGAGACTGTGACTTTCCGAGTGGCGAAGGCGAGCTTCCAGTGGTTCCACATCGGCTCCTGCGCTGGCCATTGGTTTTGGCCATGCGGGGCATGTCTGTCATAGTTTCTGTTAGACCAGTGTGGAGGGCTTACATTTGGAAACTGAGAACAGTATTCTTAGCTGAGTCACCTCGTGTACCTGGTTACTATTGGCATGTGATTTTGGTTTTGCCTCTTTTCTCTTAGCTTTCTCTTTACCTACAATTAATTTACCCAGGCTCTCTGCCAAAAAATACCAATCTCCTTGCAGTACATTTAGACAAATTAGGTGCTTTATCTGATGGTTTTTGCAGAGCCATGTCTCAGGGAGCCCTCCCTCCTGCTGTCCCCACATGGACAGGATGTCCTCGAGGTTCGCTGCTCAGCTGTCCTGGGACCTCCCTTTCTCGTCGCTCTGGGGAGCCCCTGTCACTCCTTTATTTTGATGGAACACAACCTCTAGGGGAACCTCTGCTTCCCGAGGGTAGTCTTGAGATATTCCATGTCTGAAACAGTCTTAATTCATATTCGACTAAGAGTTTGGGTAGGTATAGAATTCTAGACTAGAAATATTTTTCTCATAGATTTTGAAGATCCTCATTGTCTTCTGGCTTCAAAGACTTTCAAAGAAAAGTCGGAGGAAAGTTGAATTCCTAGAACAGAATTTTTTCTTTGTATTTCTGGAAGTTTTTGGGTTCCTTGTCCTCAGTGTTTTGAGATTTACTGATGACAAAATCTGGGGTGAATCTCTATCATCCATTGTCCTGGACACTTGGTGACTCCTTCTCTTCTGCAAACTCATGTCCCTTATCATGTCTTGATAAAACAGGGCCGTATTTATCTGGTATCTCTCCCTGCCACCTCAGTCTGTTGTCTGTTCCCTGTCTCAGAAAGATCTATGAGTTATCTGTGGGAGCTCCTGATCTCTTCTCTCTGTTCTTTCTGGGAAAAATTTTTTTTAACTTTACCTCCTACACTTCGATTGGATTTCTCATTCCCATTATTCTATCATATTTTTGTTTTCAAGAATTAAGAGGTTTTCTCAACATATTCTGTTTTATTCTTGTTTCACAAATGCCAGGTTTTAGCTTTCTCAAGACAGGTAGTTCTTAGGTGTCTGTGTATGCAGGCCCTGACAGTGAATTAGTGAATTAGTGTGTCACCTCAGCCTTCCCTCCCTCCGCTCTCTCCTTGTCGTGCAGCTCATAGGGGAGACCTTGAGGCCGGTGTGGGGGCCAATGGATAAGTGCTACCCTGTGACCACTCAGGTAGGTAAGGGCTGGGGACCCCACTTCCCCTGGAGTGGGCACCCTGGGCAGGTACAGAGGACGGCCCCTCCCAGCTGGAAGTCACTTCTATTTCCCTCTGTAGAGACGCAGAGTCAAGATCGAGAAGAAGCAAGCCAAGGTAAGTGAGGCTCGCTTCTGTCAGAGCTCCATGTGACGCAGAGACAGCCCAGCTCGTGGCAGGGGAGTCCCAGGGATGGTGGCAGGGCCCCCCCCTTCCCCTCCCTCCCCCGGGAAACTTGCAACTCGCTGAGAAGGGAAGGCCTTCCTTGGGAAAATGAAGAACGATACACAGTGCAGGTGTGGAGACGGGCCAGGAGGATGAGGGCTCTGCGGGCCTTTCTGCCCACGTCCGCCCTCCCGCCCCTCCCTGCAGGCCATGGCCCCCAAGGCAACGGGAGGACTGAGCGGTGTTGCCCCCAAGGAGGAGACTGAGCTCCAGTCTCAGCAGGAGGGGGAGGTGAGGCCCCCAGGGGCGGAAGCCGCCGGCCCCGCTGTGAAGGAGGTGGCTGAGGAAGAGGCGGCAGGGACCCCAGGCTGGGAGGTGAGGATCATCCCCAGCACCTCTAGGGTTCCCAGTGCTACTGGGAAGCCCCAGAGCACTGCGGGGGGAGGAGGGCAGTGTTGGGGGGCATGGGGCACCCGCAAGGACACTGGGCCAAACTGCTGTCCCGGTGGCGCAAGGAGCCCTGTGGGGTGGAGAGTGGGCCGGACCCTGCCTCCCCCGCCCGCCACCGCCGCCTGCCCGTCTGGGTAATGTGACTGTCGTGTGTCACCACCGTGCCCCGTCTTTCTTCCCAGGAGAACACGAAGGTCCAAAAGGAGGTGGCGGTACACCCTTCTGGTAAGACAGCACAGCCCGCCCCTGGGGGGCTTACGGATGGCGCAGCCTCTCGCGGGCCCTGGGCCGGGGGGCGGGGGGAAGGAGCCCAGGTAGCCAGGCGCCCCGTCCTCCCCGAATGTCTCCGCCGCCTCCTGCTTCCTTCCTGGTCGGCAGACCCTTGAGGCGAGCGTTTGGTCAGCGCCGGCCTGTTCCCCCCCGCCCTGGGGAAGGGTCCTCCCTGCAAGGGACCCGCAGGGCTTGCCTGTCTGTGCTTTGCAGAGGCCTCTGCGGTGGGGAGCAAGGACGAGAGGCCTGGGGGCTGGGTCCCCCGGCTCCTGAGGAAGCTCTGGCTGCACTGGGTCCCAGCCGCTGACATCCCAAAGACGCAGAAGCACGAATGACCGAAGAGCCAATAAACCCAGAGACTTGCTGCTTCTGCAGACCCAGCTGCTTCCTTTCAGGGGCTTCGTCGAAACTCAGGGGGGCCCCGTCCACACTCCCTGCCCTGACAAGCTGCGCCTGAGCCCCGCCACAGCAGCTGGTACTCTGGAGAGGCCCCCCCACCCCATGCTGAGGGGCAGAGCGAGTTCCCCGAATGCGGAGAGCTGGGGAGCTCCATGTTGTGAGCGCATTTAGAAGGTGCTGGTGGGACCTCTGTCAGGGATGCTCTTGGGTCTGGGCTGGAGGGGTGTCCTCTGGCAAAAGAGACCTGGGGGAGTGAGGCGCCTCTGACCTGTCTCTGGTCCCCATACTGTTCCTTAAATGCACCAGGGGGTCTGTCCAAGACCTGGCTAAGGGGGTGCTGCCCAGCTGCTCAGTCCAGAACCAGCCAATTGTGGGCGTGGGCACAGGGGAGGACAGCGGTCCTGCTCTCGGCCAGGGCTCCAGGCTAACAGGGTCACGGCCCCAGAAGTCAGAGCAGGACCGCCGGCCCCAGCAGCCATCTGGTGCAACCATCTCACTGGCTGAGGGGGAAACAGAAGCCCAGGGCAGGGAGGAACCGGCCCAGGGTCACACAGTATCCCGGCAGAGCAAGGGTGAAAGCCAGGGTGTCCTCCTCCAAAGTCTCCACGTGGCCGCCGCCTCCTCTGGCCATTCCACTGTCACATGGGTCCAAGGCTGGCCCCTGTCCCGAGGGTAACCTGGGGCCCACAGGTCTCACTGCCTTCCCCTGGTCAAGTCTCCTAGAGCCCAGCTTGACCCAGCCACTCAGAGGACTGTGCCCTAGGTTGGAGCCCTGATGAGTGGCCTCCTCCTACTCTAGCCTGGCTGTGAGTGGCAACTTCTAGGCAGGCGCCTGGACACAGGCATCCCTGAGGGGCTGGGAAAGGGGTCCCACCTAGCTTGGGGTGACTGACTTAGGGAGGTGGCTCACTCCTGGACTGCCAAAGGCTTCCCAGGGAAAGTTCTGGCACCTGTGGACTGAGCCCTGGGTGTTAACCTGGCACATCCCCTCATGGCCATCCCTGAAGTCCCCACCTTTGGGGGAGTCGTAGATGCAGTGGGACAGAAGAGCTGGTGGTGCTGGCGGAGCTGCTGGCCCGTGGGGTGGGGTGGGGTGGGGTGGGTGGCGTTGGACCTGAGATGTGGGTGTCCAGGCTGAGTGGGGCCTGCCCCCCTCACCAGGGTCCGGCTGAGAGCTCTCAGCAGCTTGTTCTAGCTCTTCCTGCCATGAGCCAGGACCTAAGTACAGACATTGTAACTAACCCAAGTTGCCAGTACTGGGTCCCTGTGGGTGACTAGGGGTAAGCTGTCTCCCCATCTCTCAAATGGGATCAAATGCAAAGTAAGGATGGCTCAGGCAGGGGTAGGGGCTGGCCCTGGGGAGGCTGCTAAGGCCCCATCACGGCAGGGGCTGCTCAGGGGGCCCTGAGGGGACTCAGAAGCCAGGATGGAGCCACCCAACTGGTTTACTGGCCCATCAGGCCCCTGCTGAGGAGCTGGTGGGGCAGGGGGATGCTTCCTCCCTCTAGCGAGGCACAGCACGGAGCTGGGAGGGGGCTCGGGTCACCAGGAAGGAGAAGACCCTGTGGTCGCTGGGCCGGGGCTGTCCGGTAGGCACGGAGAAGCTAAGCGCTGCAGGAGGCAGGTGAAGAAGAGGAAGAGCTCCATGCGGGCCAGGGGCTCCCCGAGGCAGATGCGGCGGCCTGTGGGGGGGTCCGGGGGTGCGCCTCAGGAGGGGCCAGTGAGTTGGGCACCCCAGGCACCTGCGGAGAAGGGCACGAAGGCCTCCTGCTTGACGAATCGGCCCTGGGCATCCAGGAAGTGCTCGGGGTGGAAACGGAAGGCCTTCTTCCAGACCTTCTCGTCCTTCAGCACTGACGATAGGTGGGTGATAAGTCTTGTCCCCTGGCAGGAGATGCCTGGCATGAGTGGGGTCCAGGCTACAGGACGCCCAGACCCCCGCCGCCGAACGTCTACGGGCGCACACTCTGCCTGGCACACACCCGGCCTCATTCAAGTGACACCTCAGCCCGAGAAGCTTCTCGGCACCCTCTGTCCGCACGGCGGGGCCGAGTGCCTCACCACCCATGGGCACCCACGCTGCCACCCACCCCTGCGCACGGGCTCCTTCAACACCTTGTGGCAGATTTCAGTTTGTCCTCCCCAGGGACTGGGGCTCTGAAGGGACAGGGCTGGCCCTGCTGATGCTCGCCCCCCCCGCGGCCCCCGGGGTAGCCGGCGCCTGCAGAAACGCGGACTGGGGGCCCGGGCCCTCCCGGGCATTAGCCGTGCCGGGGCTGCCAGGCCGGAGGTGGCGCTGCACACGGGTGAGGGAGGCCCGCAGACCTACCTTGGGGACGGGGAAGCCCTGCACTTCAGGGTCTCGGGACGTCATATGAAGCAAGCCCAGTGGGATGATGTCCCCAAAACGCTGCACCTCATGGACCACGGCCATGGTGAAGGGCATGTGGGTCTGGTCCCCCATCTCTGGTCCCTGCACCCGCCCTATCACCTCATCTATCTCCTGTTGGACACATCCTGGACAGACAGGCATCCCCACAGTGGTCAGAACCCAGGAGTCTGGGCTCCGACCTCTGCCTGACTCCTGTGGGGGGCTTTGCCCACGTGGAGGCAGCTCTTACCTCCGAGTTAGGGCCCAGCCTCTGCTCAGACCTTCTGGGGGCCAAATCAAGCTCAAGGGGCCCCAGCCTGTCCCTCTCCTCCCTCATCCATCCCACCCGGCCCCCAAGGGTGGGCTCACACTGCACGTCCGGGTGCAGGATCATGAGCAGGAGGGCCCAGGTCAGCGTGACTGAGGTGGACACCATCCCAGCAGCGAAAAGGTCAGATGTCACCATGCCCGGGTTCTCATCATTGAAGCTGCTCTCGGGGCTCCCCTTGGCCTGGGCCACGCCGAGAGAGAGGGTGAGTTCTGGGGCAGAGGGAAGGAGCCCCCAAATGGCCTCCCACCCCCGCATCCATCAGTAATCACTGACCACTGGCTGATATACGGGCCCCACCATCCTGGGCCTTGATTCATGGGGCCTTCAACCCACAACCATTGTCCCTGACACCTCACCTTTTCCACCTCATCCAGGAAGGCATCAGTCAGGTCTCAGGGTGGCTGGGTTGGGTCCCGGGTCATCCTGTGTTCCTGTATTAGCTCATCTATTAGGATCATGAGGGTCTTCTGTGCTGAGAAGACCTTGTTGGCCAGTCCCGGGATGCGCAAGAGCATGGGGATGGCGTTCAGGATGTGCGTGGACCACAGATGGGGGACCTTCCTGTGCTCGCGTGTTCCTCTTGATCAGTCAGGTCCCGCGGCCTCCAGAGTGTCCCCACCATTGACATGGTTCCTCCCTAAGTTCGTCCTTGATCCTCCTTCCTGGCCCGGGGACCAGAAGGATAAATCTAAAATCTAGATCTCATGGACTCTGGTGGCTTCCAGTGAAGGAGGTGCTAAGATTCCTTAGCCGGCTCCCCGGGCCCGCCTCTGCCATCTCCCTCGTTTGGGATTTCCCCACCTCCACGCCTCCCGTCTCGGAAGGCCTTTTCTCCCCCGCGCCTCCGCCCACCCCCTCCTCCGGGAGGCCCATTTTAGGGCGAGCTCGCCTCGCAGGGCTCCTTGGCGCCTCGGCCCCGCACCTCGCGCAGGAAGCCCTGGTCCTCCTCCACTCCCGCCTGCAGTCGTTCCAGCAGCTGGAGGAAGGGGCCGGTCGTCGTACTCGAAGCGGCGCCCGTAGGTGAGGGCGGAGATCACGTTGCTCACCGCTTTATCCACGCGGGCGCCGGGGCTGAAGGCTCGCCTCCATCACCTCTTCCCGGGCCCCTCCATCCATCCCTGTCCCCGGGGTCCCTCAGCCGCAACTCCCACCAGCATGGTCGGCGAAGGCTTCACAGAGGCCCGAGGCCTCCTCGGTCGCCCACTGCTCCAGTGACTTCTTGCCCGGGCCGAAGTTGCGCAGGGTGGACACGGAGAAGCGCCGCGGCTCGCGCCACTCGCGCGGGCAGCGCGCCAGAATCACACGTGGGGGCGGGGCTCTGGCGTGTCCGCCCCGCCCCTGCCCCGTTCACAGTCCCGCCCCCTGCGATACAGGCCCGGCCCCCTGCCCGCCCATACCAACCTTGCTCCCGACCCCCAGTAAAGCGCGCCCACTGTGACACCCACTTCCCGCCGGGCACACGTCGCTCTGCCTGCCCGCTTGGCTCGCCAGCCGGAGGCAGGTGCTGGCCCCACTCCGCTCTGCCCACCTTGACTCCTTCTCAGTCAGGGAAAGTCCTGGCCCGCCCCCTGCCTCGCCCACACGGATTCCGTCCTCCTCATTCCCGCCCACCCTGGACATCCTGTCCCTGCTCCGCGAGCCCTGGGCCCACCCCGTCTTGGGCAGGCCCCGCCCGCATCCTCCCGCGTCCCACTCAGGCACTTGGCACCAACTCCTTCCTCCGCCTGGAGCCCCTCCAAACTTGCTACCTCTTCCCTGCACTGCACGTCCCCGATCCTGCCCCCGCGTGGGCCTGCCGGAGCTTGAGTCACTGCTGGCCCAGTCCCGGCCAGGCCTCGGTCTGCCCCCATCCTCCGCTTGCCTTGGGAGGGCGGCCGGAAACCCGGGGGCTCACAGACCCGCATAGGCGGCCGGTGGGCTGTGTCCTCGCTGTGGTACACCAGTGCCTCGCGCACGGCGTCCAGGCCACTGAGCACGACCACGGGCGTCCAGACCAGCTGCAGGCTGAACACGTTCCCGAAGCCGCGCCGCAGCTGCAGGCCAAGGGTCGAGGGCGTTCGTCAAGCCGGGTGCCCACCAGGCTGCAGGCCTCAGTCTCCTGGCGCTAGGCTTGGGGCACCCCTGGGCCACCAGCAGCACTGGGGTGCAAGGGCGAGATCGGCCTCGTGACCGTGGGGGTCACATTCTCTCTGGAGGAGGGGCTGGCGCTGGATCACACCTCTCAGCTATGACTTTGCAAAGGTCACCAAAATTGTCACTAGGCCAAGTTAGGATCCTAGCCCACAGGTGATAGAAACTCAAGTTCACAGAGGTGAGCACTGAGGCCCAAAGACCCACAGCAGCAAAAGAGTTGAACCTGTCACTCTACCGATCTCAGCCTCGGTTTCCTGATTTAAATGGGGCTCATGTCCAGATTCCTCCCCCATTCTCAAGACCTTTCCTCCTGATGTCATCAGAAGGGACCCAGGTCATGTAATTTAAGTGCTATGCAACTGGATCTCAAATCCACTGCCAAGTCCGCACTCCACTCCGGGCCTTCGCTCTCGCTGACCTTTGTTTGGAAAACCCAACGTGTCCTTCAGGCCCTGCACAAAGGCCCTCCCGCAGTTAGCCCTGCAAACCTGCCTCTTCTCAGCCCATCTCCTTGCGCAACCTTGTGGCTTCACCCACCAGCCGCTGTCTGCTGCCAGGTGGGGTCCCCAGGATCTCTGCTGCCACCCCCCTACCTTCGTTACCTGGCCAAAGTAGCAGAGTGTGTTCTGGAAGTCCATCTGCAGCAGGTTGCCCCGCAGGGGCAGCCCAGCATCTGCGCCTGTGCATCAGGTCCACCAGGAGCAGGAAGATGGCCACGGCCCCGGCCAGGCACCCCAGCGTATCCCCAGTCAGCAGCCCCATGGCTGCCTCCGTGCCCCCTGGCCTCCTCTGGCACATGGGTGTCCCTCACCACACCAGGGCCCTAGGACCAGCCAGAAAGGGTGCTCTCACCACACTCGGGGAGCTCATCCAGCCTGGCCCCGCTTTCTAAAGGGAGCCGAGACCGGCCCTTGCCCTCTGCCCCGAGTCAACATGTCAGGGCGACTGTGCTGCCCGAGGTGCAGGGAGGGGCCGGGCAAGGTCAGGTGCAGGGATGACCCCAAGAGTCCTGTCCCTCCTGGTCTCTCCGGGTGCCTACCCAGGGTAGTGGGGTCGGGGTAGGGGAGAGATGATGAAGCCCCCCCTTCAGCCGGACTCTCCAGCTCTGCTACAGGCTCCGAGGAAAAGCCAGGGGTCACTGGACTTGGTCCTGCCACCCACCCGTCATATTGGGTCACACCCTGTAGTGTGGTCACAGCCTTGGCCCCAGAACACATCTGTGCCTGATCACGTTACCTGCCTCCTCCCAAGTGGTTTTCGCCTCCCGAGTTTGTTACTGGCACTTGCCCAGCGCTGTAGGGAGGTCGCAGTGATCAGAGGGACCATGTGCAGGGGGAGGGGGCAGCGTGGAAATGAAGCTCTCAGCGTCCCCTCCCTTCACCCCAGTTCACTCCACACACAGAACCCCACAATCACCAACCGCTCACACATTCACAGACACTACCTACGTGCTCACATACTGACAACCACAGGCATTTACACACCCACAAGACCATGCACACACCACTTACACACACACACACTCGGACGCTGGAGGTGCCCTGTGCTGGGTGCTGGGCTAAGTACGGCAACCCAGTGGGAGGACCATGGTGAGTCCTGCTCCAACGTGCTCATGGCCCAGAGGAGGCGTGGGGAGCCAGAGAGCGGCCAGGCCCGGTCAGCAGTGTGGGGACCGCCTTCAGGGTCATGGGGACATTGCCCCCAGGCTGGGACAGGACGTGCCGGGAACACTTCTTGGAGGACCTTGGCTGGCTTGAACCACAAGCCAAGGTGACCTGGCGGCAGGGCCAAAGCCCCGCTGCAAGGCCTCGTACACGGTGGGTGTGGGGGCAGTGCGGGGGGCTTTGCAGGTCGGGCTGAGGACTAGACTGTGGGAAACCGGGGTCTCGGGGCTTCCGGGAGGCCGGGAGCCCACTTTGGAGGCCACTCAACAGACCAGGAGGGCGAGACCCAAGGGCACGCTGGGGCCTCTCATCTGCCTCGGCTGAGCGTCCCGGAGAGCAGCACAAAGTGGGCAGGACGGCCCAAGCGTGCTGTCACCCGCTGGCCCTGGAAGCACTGCCTTTATCTGCCGGTCATTTTGGTCGCCTTCCCCAAGTGGTCGCCTTAATGGCGTCATGAAGGGCAGTGGCCTCCCCGTCCTAGGGGCCTGCTGTCCAGGACCGGGTGGCCGTGAGGAAACCGGCCGTCGTGAGGCCTGTGGCCTTTTGCCATCACTGGGCAATTGCAGCTTCGTGGTCCCCAAGCACCGAGGAGAAGGAATCTCAGGTCACGTCAGGAGGTCAAAGTCCTAGAGCGGCACCAGGGCCCATTCCAAACGCACGCTCGGAGTTACGTCTACACTGAAAGTGAACTTTTCCAAGGGCCAGCACGTTACTGAGATTGATTTAGAAACACTCTGCTCCCCCCACCCCTACGGTGGTGAAGCTGCTCTGGTGAAGCTGGGGTAAGTGTGAGCGCTCCCAGGGGCCCTCCGGGTCAGGGGTGTTCAGCGCAGGGGAGGGTTTTCTGTCGGGAAGGGACGCCAGCCACACGGGGACTGGGAAGTGCTGGCCCGGGGCCCCCCACGCGATGCAGAGCGCAGTCCTGGGCGGGGGCTCTAGAAAGTGGGTAGGGGGCCTGGGCACCCAGCGAGGGTGGCATTTCGCTCGCCTTGCCTTGCCCCCGCCCCCTCCCCGAGGCACGGGCCCGCCCACGGAGGAAGCCCCCCCAGTTCCCACTCCTTCCTGCGGGCAGAAAGGAAAAGCGGACCCCCGCATCCAGCTTGCCAGGGGCAGCAGGCAGGTGGGGGCGGTGTTTTAAGGGTACAGGGTGTCCAATCGGCAGACGAAAAGTTCTGGAGATCCGTCGCACGACAACGTGAATATACTTAACACTACTAAACTGCACTTACTGGTTAAGACAGTAAATTTTATGTTTTTAACCATAACTTGAAAACATATATAAAAATCACCATTGCGTACCTATTAAAATGGTCAAAATCCAGAACACTGACGACACCAAAGACTGGCGAGCCTGTGGAGCAACCTTCATACGTTGCTGGTAGGACCGCAAAATGGTTCAGCTGCTGCGCGAGTCAGTTCCACCGTTCCTTACAAAAGGAAACCTTCTTACCATAAGATCCAGCGAGCTCCTTGATTATTGACCCAAAGGAGTTGAGAACTGACGTTCACACAAAAACCTGCACACAGATATTTATAGCAGCTTTATTCATCATTGCCAAAACTCGGAAGCAACCAAGATGTCTTTCGGTAGGTGGTAAGTAGTACATCCAATGGAATATTCTTCAGTACTAAAAAGAAATGAGCTACCAAGCCACGAAAAGATGTGGAGGAACCTTAAATGCATTATCACTAAGTGAAGGAAGCCAATCTGACAGGGCTGCATACTGTAGGATTCCAACCATAGGACATTCTAGAAAAGGCAAAACTATAGAGATAGTAAAAAGCCCAGGGGCTGGGAGGAGGGAGGCAGGACAGGCCGAGCACAGAGGATTTTTAGGGCAATGAGACTACTCACTACTGTGTGATATGGAACTGTTTGTCCAAACCCACAGAATGTGCAACACCAAGAATGAACCCTAATGTCAACTATGGGCTTTGGGGGACAATGATGTGTCAGCGCAGTAGGATCACCGGCTGTCACAAAAACAGCGCTCCGCTGGGGAAGGCCACGTATGGGGGGCAGGGGGTATTATAGGAATGTTCTATAACTTCTGAATACTGCTATGAACTTAAACTTGCTCTAAAAAAGTGTATGGAAAAAAATACATAGAACTTAAAAGCAGTGGGAGCTGAAATGCACATGAGTGGAGGTTTCCTGCAGAAGCCGGAAAGCTGGAGCCAGGAGGGGAGTGTGGCGCAATGGTCATGTCAGAAGCCAGTTTGAGGAAAGACCTAGAATCATCACAAGTGCCTTGCTCAAGGATCATCAGCAAGTCAAAAGGGGACAGAAGAAGAAAAGCAAAATGACAAAGAATCATTTGCCGTCAGGAAAATATTTTCCTCAAGATACAAATTTTTCAAGTTTTGCGGTTTAGCTCCTGACACTTGAAATCTATCAAATTCATATGAACTGTGTTAATGCCAAGCCCAGACTAGACGGAAAGCCACACAGCTCAAAAAGCCGTCATTTCTATGCAGGTCCCATGGCCCGCGCAGCATGCCCACCCACGCCTCCATCCTGGTGAGCGAAATGAGAAATGGGCTGCACCGCTTGATGGAACCATTAGAACAGAATTAATCTGCCATTTCTGCAGCCCCAAATTGATGAGCACGCAGGAACTCATTTATAATTGCTTATTTCTACTTCACAACATTCCTTCCAGTATTTCTGTTCTCTAAAAAAGTCCATTAACATTGCATTATTTTTTTATAACCTTTAAAATTAATGTTGATTGGAAATATGTCCTCATACCAACTTAAGTAAATCTGACCGTCCCCACACACTGGCTGAGTTCCACCCACCAAGGAGGAGCCGCAGAGAGGAGCCCTTGGTTTTGCTTCATTCCAGGCCCTGCTGCGAGAGCCACCGGGTGGGGTGGGGGTGGGGGGACGGACGACGACACACTGGGGCTCAGCTGGACAGTCAGAGGGCGGCCTTCTCTGCAGTGCAGCAAAACCACCTTTGGGGGCTGAAATGGGAGGAGGAAGAGACGCGTTTGCTTTATATTAAACAAAAAAGGAAACAAGGTTAAAATGAAGTTTATTATTTTTTGATTTTTTTTTTTTTTGTTTTTTAAATAAAACTGTTTGTGAAACAGCTATTTTATCCCCACGGCAGAGTGACCCCTGAAAGATGCACTAACCCCTTCTTAAGGCCTTAACAAGATTTTTTTTTGTACTTTTTTCTTCTTTTTTTAAAACTCAGATATTTAAAAATTATACAATTTACAAAACAAAACAAAACAATACAACATAAAGAATCATGTAGGGTGGGGCTGCTCACCTGACAGGCCCCCTTTTCCTTTATAAAAATGAAAGCAAAAAAAAAAAAGGGTTAACTGGGTGTTCCTGGTCAGCGTAACCCACACTGATCACACTCGACACAGTCCCTCCCCCCAGTGTCAATTCCTACAGCTTAGATTTCCTGTCCTGTCCTTCCGTCCTGGGGGGGGGCAGGACTCAGCTGCCAGGAATGCGCGCCCAGAGGCGGGCCACCCCCTGACCCTGCCTGCCGTGCTCACTTAGTGGGGCACTCAAGGTTCTCACTGGCCACAGTGATCCAGGACAGAGCTGTGACCTTGGGACATCTGCCAATTTCACCCCCCAAAAAGATAAAAATTTTAAAAATAATAAATAAATAGTGTTTCTGGAGATGAAAAAAATTTATTTTTGTGTTTAAACATCATTCCCCCACTCTTGAAAACACGGACCGTCCCCACATCCCCCGCCCCGCACCCCTCCCCCGCAACTTTCCCACTTTGACAAATTAATGACAAAGGATGGTTCTGGTGTGGTTTGTCTGCTCTTTCAACCCTGGGTCTGCAGCTCTCTGAACTGGTGTGAGGCAGGCTAAAGATCAAAACCACATCCCGTCCTTTATGAGACCAGCTTGTTCAATTTCACACTTAAATTTCACTGTTATTGGAACAAATTTGGAGTTAACTAGAGAATTTTAAAATAGAATCAAAAGGGATAGCGCACCTTTCATTTAAACAAAGTCTTTCCAGACTAAAAATAGATTTATATATATATATTTTTATCCCACCCTTTTCACCCCCCCTTCCCATCATCCCACCCCTCCCCCCTCCCCCCACATTGTCACTATGGAGATTGTGTCCATGGAAACAGCCATTCCAACTTCTTGGGTCTTTCTTTCCTGTGGTGTCACGGTTTGGGTGTGATGTAAGGACTTGGGAAGGTGCTGGTGGGGCGGGCGGGGCAGGGCGGGGCCGCACAGCAGGACGGTTCCTTCCACCGCGAGTGTCCACCACCTCTCATCTCCACAGTCTCACCTGGAAGACAGAACCGACACTGGGTGCTGGGAACCTCCGCGCGGCCCAGGAGCTGACAGCCCCCGCTCCGGGGGTCCAGCAGCTGCAGACCCCCCGCAAGTGTGCTGACGTGGCGGGAGACCCCCAAGGCCAGGGGTGGAGCCACCATGTGACCCAGACCATGTGGCGCTTGGCTGGGACCACGGTGAAGGGCGGCAGCGACGTGGCCAGCTGCGCTGCGAATGGACTCTGTGCCCCTCGCGGCGCGGCGGCCTCCCCAGTGCGTGGAAGGAACGGAGACCAGGAAAGAGCTCTCCGACACCCTGGAGGGGGCGCCCCAGCTCAGGACCCCACCACCAGCGGCCTCCGGTGGAGCTGGGCACTTCGGTGGCAGGGAGCGGTGCTCACAGAGGTGGCTGAGCACGCAGACCTGCGGAAGCAGTGCTCAGGACCCCGTCACAGCGCTGGCAGGGACAGAGCGCACTCCTCACACTCAACAAAGAACGCTCTTCAGCCAGCTCTGTCGGGGAGGGCAGGGCCCCCCTCTGAGGCTCCCCAGGCGTCCCCTGCACTGGCTCCTCTTCCAGCCCGGGCTCCGGGCTCAGGGAGACGATCCTGATGAACACGTGGGGCGGTGGGCTTGTGCCACGGTCTCCTCCGAGTACTTCATGGGTCATTATGTATGCAGAGGTCTCAGAGAGAGACAGCGGTTTCTTCCAAGGATCAGTGCAGAACAATCAGAGCAGAAGCCGGGAGTGGTGGCCTCCCCCCACCTTCTTCCTGCCAGTCCGAGCGCTCCCTTCTTCCCCAGACCCCCTCTGCTGCCCTCCTCCAACAAATAACCCTCGGGAAAGCCCAGGCGGCACCATCCCTCTTCTGTTCTCATGCTACTAATAGGCAAAATCGTTCAGAAGGCTGGTCTGTGTGCAGGAGCTAAGAATCTTCTATTTAAAAGCACCCATATATATACATATATATATATTATATATATAATATATATATACCTGCCTTCACCAAAAAG